TGAGACGTCTCAAAGACGTGATGAGGCGCCGGGTCAAATGAAAGGATTACTATTATAGAGACACATGGATCGGTGAGCGGGTATGCGAGAGACAGAGCGAGAGGTCAGAGAGAGAGACAGTAGGAGACACACACACACACACACAGAAGTGTGAGTGGCAGAAAGAGAGAGCGAGAGAGACAGTGACACACACACGCACACACGGTGTGTGAGAGAGAGACACACGCGGAGAGCGAGTGAGGGAGAGGGACAGATACAGAGGGGAGGTTTTAAGTTTCAGGCACTCGGTGGGTTGCACAGTGAGTTCGGTTCCAGCCCCGAACACAAGCTTTGCGGCCTAACCCACCATAACACAGCCTAAACCCAGGTGTCTGTCTGCATGTACAGACAGACAGACAGACACACAGACAGACACACAGACAGACAGACAGACAGACAGACGCACGCAGCGATACACTATATTCCTTGCATTTGATACAGCGCCTTATCATGTCTTCGTAGACGTCTCAAAGCGCCTTCACAGGATACAGGACAGACAGACAGACAGAGTGACACACACACATACACAGACAGTGTGTGAGGGAGACACACACACACACACACACACACAGAGCGAGGGAGAGACAGACAGAGACAGAGACAGGAGGGGGTTTAAGTTTCAGGCACTTGCTGGGCTCCGCAGTGAGTTTAGTCCCAGCCCCAAGCACAAGCTTGTCAGCAGCATCATAATAATTCACACAGTTTAAAACAGGTTTGACAAAAACCCGGGTTACTTTCCGGGCGGTACGATAAATCCCTTCGAATTTGATTTTAAAAAAAAAGAGTCAAAAATAATTTGGTGACTTCAACCCACGGGACGCTGCCGTGCGTAGTTGGCGGCAGTGCTTCACCCGCGAAACACACAGTCACTCCGCCTGACATTATACCTTGTGAAGCGCTTTTGAGACGTCCCAACGACGTGGTAAAATGCGGTGTATCAAATGCAAGGATTATTATTATTATTGTTGTTGTTTTACGAGATAGAGGGAGAGAGAGATACGCAGAGATTGCGAGAGACAGAGACACACACACGCAGTGAGAGAGAAAGACAGAGACTCACACACACAGTGTGAGAGAGACAGAGACACACACACACACACAGTGAGAGAGAAAGACAGACACACACACACAGTGTGTGAGAGACAGAGACACACACACACAGTGAGAGAGAAAGACAGACTCACACACACAGTGTGAGAGAGACAGAGACACACACACAGAGAGAAAGACAGAGACACACACACACAGTGTGAGAGAGACAGAGACACACACACACAGTGTGAGAGAGACAGACACACACACACAGTGTGAGAGAGACAGAGACACACACACACACAGTGTGAGAGAAAGACAGACACACACACACACAGTGTGAGAGACAGAGACACACACACACAGTGTGAGAGAGACAGAGACACACACACACACACAGAGAAAGACAGAGACACACACACACCGTGTGTGAGAGACAGAGACACACACACACACACAGTGAGAGAGAAAGACAGAGACACACACACACAGTGTGAGAGAGACAGAGACACACACACACACAGTGAGAGAGAAAGACAGAGACTCACACACACAGTGTGAGAGAGACAGAGAGACACACACACACACACACACACACAGAGAAAGACAGAGACTCACACACACAGTGTGAGAGAGACAGAGACACACACACAGTGAGAGAGAAAGACAGAGACTCACACACACAGTGTGAGAGAGACAGAGACACACACACACACAGTGAGAGAGAAAGACAGAGACTCACACACACAGTGTGAGAGAGACAGACACACACACAGTGAGAGAGACAGAGACACACACAGTGTGAGAGAGACAGAGACACACACACACAGTGAGAGAGAAAGACAGACAAACACACACAGTGTGAGAGAGATAGAGACACACACACACAGTGAGAGAGAGAGACAGAGACACACACAGTGAGAGAGAAAGACAGAGACTCACACACACAGTGTGAGAGACACAGAGACACACACACACACAGTGAGAGAGAAAGACAGAGACTCACACACACAGTGTGAGAGAGACAGAGACACACACACACACACAGAGAAAGACAGAGACTCACACACACAGTGTGAGAGAGACAGAGACACACACAGTGAGAGAGAAAGACAGAGACTCACACACACAGTGTGAGAGAGACAGAGACACACACACACACGCAAACACAGTTAGAGTGAGCGAGAGACACATCCAGAGTGAGAGAAAGAGAGCGAGAGAGAGAGAGACGCGCACAAAAAAGAGAGACAGAGCGAGTGAGAGAGAGATAGATACAGACACACAGAGTGAGAGGGAGAGGCGCACACACACACACACACAGAGTGCGGGGGAGACAGATACAGAAGGGAGGTTTAATTTTCAGGCACTTACTGGGTTCCACAGTGAGTTTGGTTCCAGCCCCAAACACAAGCTTAGCGGTGTAACCCACATAACACAGCCTAAACCGGCTTCACAAAAAGCCCGGGTGTCCGTCTGCGTGGACAGAGAGACAGAGACAGACACAGAGAGGGAGACAGAGACACACACACACGAGAGAGACAGACACACACACACGAGAGAGACAGACACACACACAGAGAGAGACAAACAGGCAGAGACACGCACACGCGCGCACAGCAATATAATACATTGGATACATATATCTATCTTCGAGACGTCTCAAAGCGCTTCACAGGATGCACTGTGAAGTGATCAGACAGACAGAGAGAGAGAGAGAGTGACTGACGGACAGAGAGACGGACAGAAAGAGAGAGAGAGAGAGAGACACACACACACAGTGTGGGAAATAGATAGAAACACACACACACAGCACACAGAGAGAGAGAGAGAGAGAGACATACGCCGACATAACGCACACGCCGAGCGAAAGAGAGAGCGAGACAGATGCGGAGAGGGGGGTTTAGGTTTCAGGCACTTACTGGGCTCCACAGTGAGTTTGGTCCCAGCCCCAAACACAAGCTTCCTGGTGTACTCATCTCCATAAGCACAGTTTAAAGTGGCTTCACAAGAACCCCAGGTGTGTACACGTGAGAGACGGGGAGAGAGAGAGAGACACACACACACACACACACACAGAGACGCAGACACGCACACACAGAGTGAGGGAGTTTGAAGTTTCAGGCACTTACTGGGCTCCACGGTGAGTTTGGTCCCAGCCCCAAACACGAGCTTCTCAGTAGTACCATAACCAACACAGTTTAAAACGGGTTGACAAAAACCCAGGTTGCACGAGAGAGAGAGAGAGAGAGAGGCGCACAGAGAGTGTGAGAGGCAGAGAGCGAGAGACACGGGGGAGTGTGTGAGAGAGAGAGACACACACGCACAGAAACACACGCACGCACACAGTGAGAGAGGCACACAGACACGGGGACACACATCCGCACAGGCAGCGCGTGAGAGAGAGAGAGAGAGAGAGAGACGCACACGCACAGCGAAGGGGAGAGAGAGGGAGAGAGACACAGAGACAGACACAGAGGGGGAAGTTTTAAGTTTCAGGCACTTACTGGGTTCCACGGTTAGTTTGGTTCCAGCCCCAAACACAAGCTTAACAGGTTGCACGATAGAGAGAGAGAGGCGCACAGAGAGTGTGAGAGGCAGAGAGCGAGAGAGAGACACGCACGCACGGTGAGAGAGAGACTTACAGACAGACAAAAACATAACACACAGACAGCGTGTGAGACAGAGAGAGAGAGAGATACAGAGGGGGAAGTTTTAAGTTTCAGGCACTTACTGGGTTCCACGGTGAGTTTGGTCCCAGCCCCAAACACGAGCTTCTCAGTATCATAGTCAGCACAGTTTAAAACGGGTTGACAAAAACCCGGTTACACGAGAGACAGAGAGAGAGAGAGAGACACGGGGAGCGTGAGAGACAGAGAGAGAGAGAGACACACACCGAAACACACACACACACACAGAGTGCGAGAGGGGAGTTTTAAGTTTTAGGCACTTACTGGGTTCCACGGTGAGTTTGGTTCCAGCCCCAAACACAAGCTTAGTGCTTCCACCCACATAAGCACAGTCTAACCTCACTTCACAATAACCCGGGTGTCTGGGAGCGACACAGAGAGAGAGAGAGACAGACAGAGACACATACAAAGGCACAGCGCGGGAGGGAGGGAGGGAGGGAGAGAGAGAGATGGATACAGAGAGAGGGAGTATGAACTTTCAGGCACTTACTGGGTTCCACGGTGAGTTTGGTTCCAGCCCCAAACACAAGCTTGGTGGTGTAATCCCTTAAGCACAGTCTAACCTCGCTTCACAATAACCCGGGTGTCTGGGAGACACACACACACACACACAGCGAGGGAGGGAGGGAGAGAGAGAGAGAGAAAGACAGATACAGAGAGGGGAGTTTGAACTTTCAGGCACTTACTGGGTTCCACGGTGAGTTTGGTTCCAGCCCCAAACACAAGCTTATCGGTGTAATCCCTTAAGCACAGTCTAACCTCGCTTCACAATAACCCGGGTGTCTGGGAGAGACACACAGACACAGAGAGAGAGAGAGAGAGAGACGCACAAACACACAGCGAGGGAGGGAGGGAGGGAGGGAGAGAGACGGATACAGAGAGGGGAGTTTGAAGTTTCGGGCACTTACTGGGTTCCACGGTGAGTTCGGTTCCAGCCCCAAACACGAGCTTGGCATAAAGCACAGACTAAACCGGCTTCACAAAAACCCGGGTGTCTTGTGCGCGCACACGTGAGAGAGACAGACACACAGGGCGAGGGAGGGAACTGGTCATGATAATCTCTGGCGCTTGACCCGGCGCCTGATCACGTCTTCGAGACGCCTCAAAGCGCTTCGCGGGACGCACCGTCAAGTGAACGGACAGGAGACAGAGAGACAAGACAGTTAGAGAGAGAGAGAGAGAGAGAGAGAGAGCGTGCACAGACGGATAAAGAGAGGGGCGATCGAAGTTTCAGGCACTTACTGGGTTCCACGGTGAGTTTAGTTCCAGTCCCAAACACAAGCTTGTCAGCGGCGCCCAAATAGGCACAGTTTACACCCGCTTCACAAAAACCCGGGTGACAAGGACAGAGAGAGAGAGAGAGAGCGCGTGTGGCAGAGAGAGAGGGAGAGAGATAGAGAGAGAGAGACGGAGAAAGAAAGAGAGGGACACATATGTATACACACACACACAGAGAGAGACAGAGATAGAGACTCACACGCGCTCACGGAGTGAGAAAGAGAGACACGCAGATAGACAGAGAGAGAGAGACAGAGAGAGAAACACACAGATAGAGACACACACACACACAGACACACACACAGATCCGATTATTATTATTCAGCAAAGACCGCTCTCTCGCTTCACGGCTGTTTGTGGGGACGTCGCTGTGCTCAACCGGGGCCTAAACACACAGTCACTACACTTACTGAGAGAGAGAGCGGGGTGGTGTGGGGGGGAAAGAGAGAGAGAGAGAGGGAGAGGTAGAGAGAGACTTACTGGGTTCCACGGTCAATTTAGTTCCACTTCCAAACGTTAATTTCAGGATTTTGTAATCGGTGCCCCACAGTGTGAGACCCGGTGTCAGAAATCTCCCTACGGTCTCTCTCTCTCTCTCTCTCTCTCTCTCTCTCAGCCTCTCCGTAACTCTCTCCCTCAGCCGCTCTGCTCCGGCCGCCACGGTTTTCGCCCGCGGACCGGGGCAGTCGCCGCGCCTCACGGCGTGTCCTGCGAAGCGCTTTTGAGGTGCCTCAAAAGGACTCGTGTGTCGAATGCCGGGATTATCAGTGTTATTATTGTTAGCAGAACTCTCGGAGGGGGAGAGAGAGAGAGAGAGAGAGAGTGAGACCCTTCTGCGTGTATGTCTCTCTCTCTCTCTCTCTCTCTCTCACACCCTCTCTGTCTCTCTCGCTCTCTCTCTCTCACTCCCCGGGGCTGTGCTGGAGCGACAGCCTGGACCGTTTGAGTTCGAAGTCCCCTGTTTGTGTGCGCGCGTGTGTGAGAGGGAGAGAGACTGAGACAGAGACTGAGAGGGAGAAAAAGGCTGTAAGAGAGCGAGAGAGAGAGAGAGAAAGACACCGAGAGTGACCAGACACACACACACACACAAGCTTCTGCCTCGGAGATAACATTGATAATAATCCTTGCACTTCATATAGCGCCTCAGTCACGTCTGCTGCGCTTTGCCCTCAAGGCACAGTCGCTCCACTTTACGGTGTATCCTGTGAAGCGCTTTGAGAAGTCCCGAAGACGCGACAAACACACCGAACTCCTACCCCATCGCCCCCAGCCCTCGCCGGCCCCCACCGGCCCCCTCTCGCACACACTACTTATTATTAAGCGACTCAGCGAGCACTTACTTGGTTCCACGGTGAGCCGAGTGCCTTCCCCGAACGTCAGTTTCTCCGTACCGGTGAATGCACAGTGTTCGTCGCCCGCACAAAATCCTCTTTAGCCTCCTTTGCTCTCATTATCTGACCACACATCTCTCTCTCTCCCTCTCTCTCTGTCTCTCGCTCTCTCCCTCTCGCCTCCTCTTCAGCGCCGCTTCACGAGCTCCGTGCAGAGCGCAGGGTGATTCTTCTGTGCGGGTGTGAGGCGGAGAACGCGTGGAGTCCTGCAAGGGTAAAAGTTAAATAAACGAATGATTTGGTCGCCCGAGCCACGACTGTTTGCGGGGACGTCGCCGGGCGCGGTTGGCTGCAGCTTTCGGCCCGCAAATAGTACGGCCGCTGCACTTCGCAGGGTGTCCCGTGAAGCGCTGCGAGACGTCTCGGAGACGCGGTAAGGCGCCGGGTCGAAGGCAAGTCTGGAGCGCGAGAGGTTTTTGTACAGGCGAGCTCGAAGATTGAAGCACTGTGATACCCCACACAGTGATTAATCGCCGTACAAAAACCTCCCGATGTAGTGTCTAACCGCACAGAGATCTGGGCTGACAAGCCACCTCCCACTCTCGAGGCTGGAGGCGAAGGGGGAGGGAGAGAATGATACAGAGAGAGAGAGAGAGAGCGAGAGGAACTGAGAGAGAGTGATGGTAGTAATAAGAATAATCCTGGCGTTCGACCCAGCGCCTCGTCGCAGCTTCGAGACGTCACAAAGCGCGTCGCGGGATACACTGTAAAGGGTAGTGACCGTGTTTTTGTGGGAGAAATGGGGGAGAGGGAGAGAGAGACACAAAGAGAAGGACTGAGAGAGAGACAAGAGTGAGAGAGACTGAGAGAGAGAAACAATCACGAATAATAATCCCGGCGCCTTATCATGTCGTCGAGACGTCTCACAGGAATATTCGGAATTCAGTCAGTATCCGTGTCCCTGCGCGAGAGTGAGTGCTGTGCGTGTGTGCGTGTGTGTGTGTGAGTGATGTGCGCGCGTGCGCTGTGTGCGTGTGCCCATCTATGTGCGCGGGAGAATCAGTGCTGCGTATGTATGTGTGTGAGTGCTGTGCATGTGTGTGCTGTGTGTGTCTGTGCGTGTGTGCTGTGTGTGTGTGAGTGCTGTGTGCGTGTGCCCATCTATGTGCGCGGGAGAATCAGTGCTGCGTATGTATGTGTGTGAGTGCTGTGCATGTGTGTGCTGTGTGTGTCTGTGCGTGTGTGCTGTGTGTGTGTGTGTGAGTGCTGTGCGCGAGTGCCCATCTATGTGCGCGTGAGAATCAGTGCTGCGTATGTATGTGTGTGAGTGCTGTGCATGTGTGTGCTGTGTGTGTCTGTGTGCGAGTGCCTGTGTATGTGTGTGTGAGTGCTGTGTGTCTGTGCGTGTGTGAGTGCTGTGCGCGCGCTGTGTGCGTGTGCCCATCTATGTGCGCGTGAGAATTAGTGCTGCGTATGTATGTGTGTGAGTGCTGTGTGTGTCGGTGTGCGAGTGCCTGTGTATGTGTGTGTGAGTGCTGTGTATGTGTGTGACTGTGTGTCTCTTGTGTTTGTGTGCATGTGTGACCGTGTGAGTGTGTGTGACTGAGTGAGTGTGAGTGTGTGTGACTGTGTGTGTGTGTGTGAGACTGTGTGAGTGTGTGACTGAGTGAGTGTGTGTGTGTCTGTGTGTGTGACTGTGTGTGTGTGAGAGTGAGTGAGTGAGTGTGAGAGTGAGTGTGTGAGTGAGCGAGCGAGCGAGCGAGTGTGTGAGTGAGTGAGTGAGTGAGTGAGTGTGAGTGAGTGTGAAGCCCTGTGACCCCCAGGTTTGTCAGTAGGAAGTCGGAGGCCGGTGAGACGTTCTTAGCAAAAAAGCTGGTGGAGGATTTACAGGTCACCGGGTGTGAGTGCTCCATCGTGAAACGTGAGTGAGTCTGTCTCTCTCTCTCTCTCTCTCTCACACTCACTCTCTCTCACACTCACTCTCTCTCACACTCTCTCTCTCACACTCACTCTCTCTCACACACTCACTCTCTCTCACACTCTCTCTCTCTCTCACACACTCTCTCTCACTCTCTCTCACACTCTCTCAAACACTCGTCTCACACTCTCTCTCTCTCTCTCTAACACTCGTCTCACACTCTTTCAAACCCGTCTCACTCTCTCAAACACTCGTCTCACACTCTCTCTCTCTCAAACACTCGTCTCACACTCTCTCTCTCACTCACACTCTCTCTCACACTCTCTCTCTCTAAACACTCGTCTCACACTTTCTCTCTCTCAAACCCTCATCTCACACTCTCTCTCTCTCGCACTAGTGACACCAACTGAGCCAAAGATCACAATAGTTGTGAACTCACTGGACTGTGATACTGACTTGTCCGAACTGGCGGAGTGTATGACAGCATCAGGTAACAGCTCTCACACACACTCACACACACACACAACGCAGCTCACACACACACACACACACTCACACACACAACGCAGCTCTCACACACACTCACAACGCAGCTCACACACACACACACTCACACACACACTCACACACACAACGCAGCTCTCACACACACACACACACAGCGCAGCTCTCACACACACACACAGCGCAGCTCTCACACACACACACACACACACACAGCGCAGCTCTCACACACACACTCACACAGCGCAGCTCTCACACACACACTCACACACACAGCGCAGCTCTCACACACACACTCACACACACACAGCGCAGCTCTCACACACACACTCACACAGCGCAGCTCTCACACACACACAGCGCAGCTCTCACACACACTCACACAGCGCAGCTCACACAGTCTCTCTCTCTCTCTCACCCTCTGTGTCCCTCACACTCTCTCCGTCTCTCTCACACCCTCTGTGTCTCTCACACAGCGCAGCTCTCACTGTCTCTCTCTCTCTCTCACCCTCTGTGTCTCTCACACTCACTTTCCGTCTCTCTCACACTCACTCACTGTCTCTCTCTCTCTCTCACACTGTCTCTCACTCACTCACTCTCTCTCTGTCTCTCTCACACCCTCTGTCCCTCACACTCACTCACTCTCTCCGTCTCTCTCACACCCTCTGTGTCTCTCACAAACTCACTCTCACACTGTCTCTCTCTCTCTCTCTCACACTGTGTCTCTCACACTCACTCACACTCTCTCTGTCTCTCTCACACCCTCTGTGTCTCTCACACACTCACTCACACTCTCTCTGTCTCTCACACCCTCTGTGTCTCTCACACACTCACTCACACTCTCTCCGTCTCTCTCACACCCTCTGTCTCTCTCACACACTCACTCACTCACACTCTGTCTCTCTCACACCCTCTGTGTCTCTCACACTCACTCACTCTCTCTCCGTCTCTCGTGTCTCACACACACTCACTTTCCGCCTCTCTCACACTCTCTCTCTCTCTCAGTGCAAAAACGAAGGATGCCCAAAGTTATGAAAGTGCAGAGGAAGTCGAGACGGTATCTTTACACACCGAACGGCAATTAATGCCTCCATCTCACCCGCCCGAACACACCTCTCCCCCACCCCCTGGATACAACCTGGCAGCTCAGGAAACTGCTCGTGGCCCTTTACGTGGCGAAGAGGGGGAAACGGGGCGTAACGCAAAGGGGAAGGAGGTCATTTATCGCCCACAAGTCCACGGGCGATTCACTTTACAGTCCATTCTGTGAAGCGCTTTGAGACGTCGAGAAGACATGAAGTGCGCTGCGTCAAGTGCAAGGATTATTATTTTGTTATTTATACTATTGTGATTACCTCGAGCCCCTCTCTCTCTCTCTCTGTCAAGTCACACTCAGTCTGACACTGACATAGAGAGAGAGAGAGAGAGACGGACAGAGAGATAGAGAGAGAGAGAGACAGACAGATGGAGAAAGGGAGACACACACACACAGACACAGACAGACAGAGGTAAGAGACAGACACGCAGAGAGCGACAGAGACATAAAGAGATGGAAAGAGAGAGACACACACAGATAGAGCGATAGTCAGAGAGACTGAGAGACACGAGTGAGGGAGAGACAGAGGCAGTAAGAGAGACGCAGAGAAAGACAGAGAGACACACGCGCAGAGAGAGAGAGAGCGATAGAGAGAGATGCCGACAGAGAGAGAGACACAGATACAGTGAGAGAGACAAAAGCAACAGACACACAGACAGAGAGACAGACGGACGGAGAGAGTTGCGGAGAGATGGAGAGAGAGAGAGAGAGAGAGAGAGAGAGACTAAGGGATGGACAGAAGGAGAGACGAAGCGAGAAAGAATAAACATTGATTTGTAAAAAAAAAACCTGTGAAATAAAACAAACTGTTAAAACGTCGATCAGACTATTTCTTCCTTGTGGAGTCCTGTAGTTGGAGATTAGACCCCTCCCCTCACCCCCCACAGCCCCTGTAGCTCAGGGGTTAGACCCCTCCCCTCACACCCCACAGCCCCTGTACCCCAGGGGTTAGACCCCCCCTCACACCCCACAGCCCCTGTACCCCAGGGGTCGGACCCCCCCTCACACCCCACAGCCCCTGTACCCCAGGGGTCAGACCCCCCCTCACACCCCACAGCCCCTGTACCCCAGGGGTCAGACCCCCCCTCACACCCCACAGCCCCTGTACCCCGGGGTTAGACCCCTCCTCACACCCCACAGCCCCTGTAGCTCAGGGGTTAGACCCCTCCCCTCACACCCCACAGCCCCTGTACCCCAGGGGTTAGACCCCTCCCCTCACACCCCACAGCCCCTGTACCCCAGGGGTTAGACCCCTCCCTCACACCCCACAGCCCCTGTAGCTCAGGGGTTAGACCCCTCCCCCCCTCACACCCCACAGCCCCTGTAGCTCAAGGGGTTAGACCCCTCTCCTCACACCCCACAGCCCATGTAGCTCAGGGGTTAGCTACGCGCCTGTGTTCGCAGCAGTCAGCAGGAACCCACTCAGGCGATTGGGGCTTCACTTTCCAGAGGTAATAATCCCTTCAAAAAAAAAACAACAACAATTTGGTTACTCAACCCGCGGCTGTTTGTGGGGACGTCGCTCACAACACACACAGTCGCTACACTTTACAGCGTGTCCCGTGAAGCGCTTTGAGACGTCTCAGGGGATAGTTATTATTTTTATTCCCAGTTCGGTTTTA